GCACATAACTGTAACAATAGCGCCGCCTTACGCTCGTGTATAAACAGCCGCACCGCAAAATCGCATTTATAGCGCAAAAAACTATTTAAATTATCGTAATCGTTTGGACAGCAGCTATGGCAAGCATAATAATCATGGCGCTTGCAAATTTTACACATGTTATCTCTACTTCACACAACCCCAAACACACAGACACACACGCACACTAGCGGTGAAAAAAAAAAAATATTGCGAATGTAAGCGCATAAAAGCCGAAAATACCACAGACCGCATGCCGAGCATTGCTTGCGAGCAAGCAGGCGACCAGCGCCACAATAAACGGTCAGAGCGAGCCAAACACATCGCGTATACGACATGGTGCACCGCGGCGTGCGCGCCACACCATGCAATTGACACACTTGCTGGCGGCGCATGTGAGCGCAATTATTTGACCAAAATTAAAGGCTTTAAGCGGACTTATCCTTGTAAGTTATTTATGGTGAGCTACGGCGACAATGAGCTCACACCGCTGCCACAATAGTACTCGTGTCCGCCCAGAATGCCATGCTTAAAACAAAATGTATGAAATACTGATAACAGTTACGTCAAAGCGAAAATTAAATTCTAAGCAAGGCAGCGTAAGCATGTTTAATTCTCTCAAATTTCTAAAGTAAACTGCTGCACTGTCAAACTGCCAGCCGCTTGCGGCACCTCGCACCCGCTTACTTGAGTTGATTCTCAAAATTATTCACAAGCATGCAATCAGTTTTAATCTGGCAGCAAGTTACCGCTAGCCACATATGACACGTGAAAGTATGCAAAAGCAGACAGAACGTAATAAACGCAAAATATGCTGGAGTTACTTTGGCGATACTTTGCGCTTGCTGCAGGTCGTTCTCTCTCTCGCTGTATGCATGTGTCTCGCTACTTTCTGACACATTTATCAAGGCAAACTTTGGCCCTCACTGCTGTCAAGCTAATGTACAAATTAAGTGTCGAGAATGAGCAAAAAAAAAAAAAAAAAATATCGTCGCTTGCCAGCAGTCAGAAGCGCGGGTGTTAAGCAAAGGACTCGAAGTTTTAAGTAGCAGCTTAAACGAAAATTTTAATGGGATTGCATGAAAGCGCTTAAGTAACTGTCGGTCTGTGGGTAAAAAACTAATTTTCAAATTAAATTAAAATTGTAAAAATATCATAAAAACAATGTYTAAAGGYATAAGAATGAGTAGAGAGAAGTTTYTGTTTATAYAAAAARGCARCTTTAACTTTCAGTCAAATATACTAAGATCTTTCCAGCATAGCCGCAAATACAAGTGATATGAACGTTCTTTAAAAGTATCAATTTAGAACTCACTAATAAAAATTTTTTTTTTGGAGATCACAAATTGACTACCCGCCTACTACCTTTGCCATTTTTGAGTTTTGTTTAAACTCTAAGTTTGAATTTTCATTGTCGCTTTAACGTCGTCGTTAAATGCATACTAATCGAATTTCATCACAATAAAAGTGAGAAAATTTGACAGTAGACTTGGTAATATACTTACTACTAAGATTTCGAATAAAAAAAGCTCGCCTAATGAGTAATTAAGCCTAGGTTCACAGTTTAGGCTCATAGTTAGTTTGGTTGACTTCTAGTAACTTAAATGCACTATTATATTATTAAATATACTATTTGTTCGCGATGGACTCCTAAACTRCTGAACCGATTTTAGCAAAATTTAGCACAGTGTGTCCAGTTCGARCCAGCTTAGAAGATAGGGTAGTAAAAACAATYCATTAATAAAAACTACAGTGAAAGCTCTATTAAATGAATGCTCTATTAAGCGAACATCTCCATTAAYCACCCACAATTTGTTGAGTTTTATTAAGTACAATCTATTAAGCSGACAACTCTATTAGCTGGACAGAAATGCTGGTARTCAGATATTGAGAAAGCAGCCATAMATTTTTTATTTTTTCCAATGAAATTTATTTGCATGAACATATTCAAAATTAAACATCAAGTGCAATCTCTTGAATGCTTATACCGACAAAAGTGTTTTCTCTTTTATTCTTAAGTAAAATTTTCACTGTATTGAATAGTTTGTTATATGAATAATAGTATAAAATGTATAACACAGTCACAGTTAAATGAATTATTACTTCACTTTCTCCGTTGGACTTTCAATCTGCAACATTTGTCATCGACTCCACATTCGCTATGATAAAAAAAAACTAAATAAATTTTTAGCAGTTTTTACCAGATAAATGTGATATTTGAGGCAATATTTAAAATTATATACTATGAGCGTCAATGGAGGTGGAAAATATCTATCTATATATATAAAATGGGTTTTGATAGAATTTATGTATTTTTTTTTAAATGTAATTTGTAATTGAAAACAGGAGAGAAAATAAGTGCAGCAGCAGTGCTGAATAGATTGATTATTAGCAATATCTTAGGAAATAACTTCTCAAATCAAACCTGACAAACAGACTGTAATGAAAGGGTTGAAAGTGAAACATGAAAAAAAAAATTTACATTACTGCTACTATGACATAACCTCTACTATAACTGGAGTAAAAATTCTGAGGCAATGCTTAGCTGCCACCAGAAATTAGCATAGATGTAATATACTAAGTTCTAACCTCTCTAGAAGGACGGCAGATGTGAGCCTGGACTTCCGTAGGAATAAACGACTTACGGAGCAAAATTCTTAATACATACTTTCTAAAGCTGGGCGGTAATTTACTCCAGAGTGGCCAAGATAAGTTTATTAAAAACACGTTTATACTTTAGTAGTATTGAATAGAGTAATATTATCATTTAGATAGAGTATTAGTTTTTTGCGAAACTTATTTGCGTAAGCAAATGTCCACCGCTGCATGATTCCGTCTTCTCCGTGAATAAAGATAAAAAAATTAGCAAATGGCGGTGTTTAAGGAGTTACGGAGACTTCTTCGGGTAAAAAACAGCCTTTTTTCAAAAATTTTTCTCATATAAAAAACGAAAAATATAGTTAACAATTTTTATTGTTAACAAAGAAATTCGGAAATTTTTGGAATTTTTGGAAAAAAAAATTTGACTTCTCGTTAGTTAAAACCTTAACTTAGAACTTGGAAGAAGGGAAAAAATTAGCTAAAAGATGGAGTTTTTGCAGACATTTTTACACAAAAAAAAATGATGAAAATTTCCCGAAATTTTTTTTCCAAGTATTTGTGATCGAAAAAAAATTTCTTCGTCCAAGTACTTAAGAATTTTATCTCAAAAACCATGTAAAACTTCATAAAGATCGGTTTAGTAGTCAGAAACTCACTTTCAAAACAAAAACCATTTAAATACGGTGCACTTAGCCTAGCTAACCTCAAACGCACAAGTTTTCAGGGCTGTATCTYCGATACACAAATGAATGATTGAAATATAGGACAATTGTAAAGTTTAATAAGGTAATAAAAAATGTAAGCATGTAATCCCTTGAAAAAAAAAGTTGAATTTTAGCCCAAATTTTGGTAATTTTTGGCTTGTCAAAGTTCGATTTTCGATCAGCTCAAAAAACTGATTCAATGTAGAGTTATATATAGAAAAGACAGTAAAATGCTGATCGGGCCATTATATTCGATTGTAGCTGTTGTTTTCCCACTTGCCATGCTTGATGCCAAAAAACTTAGAGCTTTTTTGTTAGCTTAATCGAATTAATAAACCACACGTTGGTCAACTTGATGGAAGCCACCACCACAAAAGCGAAGAAAAACTATTTATTTATATTAAAATGTGCGAGCGAGCGAACCAAGAAATCAACGAATCATGCCACATACATATTTACAAGCATACATATACTTACTTTTGTATTGAGCGCGTAATAAGTGACCGTTTTGACCAATTAATATGTATGCGTGCGTGCTATTGAGCGCTTGCACTGCACGCAAATACATACAAAAAGCATTCAATATATGCATTTTTGCATGTACTCAATCGAGTTTATTGCGCCTTTTCAGGCAATTATTGCAGTTTTACTATTAAATTGTATGTGCGCATGCATAAGTTAGCACTCACATATACAAATATGCATTTACACACACACAAATAAACGTGTGCGTGTGTGTGGAAAACGTTCAGAAAAACAAAATTTGCGCTGAATTATAATTTTTGGTGCGCAAGCATTGGCTCTGGCATTGCGCCGTGCATAGTTAATAATTTGCATGCTCTGGCGCCTCGAAGTAGGCAACAAAAACCTTGCATAAACTTGCGCTTGCACGAAATAACTGTTTTTATTGTATGTGCCTGCTAAAGCAAATTAAAAATTTAGCAGAAATAATGGAATTTTGAATATATATATATTTTTTTTTTTGTTACTTGCGTGTATTAAAAGTGGCATTGGGACCTGCAATTATGAGTGGATTTTGTGCGCATATTCTTGCATTACTGAAATAAGCAACAACTTATATGGCTTGCATGCGTACTTGTACAAAAATTAATTGCAAGAATGTATTTTACAAAATTTTTCTAATTGAATTTAGTTTATGCAACCAAATTGTGCTAGAATACTTTCACTTACAAATGTTTATGTTTTTGTAGATATAGTTATGTGCACTAAACTAGTAAAAATACCTCTACATATATATTTACGCATATACAATATTAATATATTTTATATAGTTATGAACTACTTTCTGCTAGCACTTAAGCAAGAATTATCTGTTTGCGCCAGTATCATGCAACAGACTCGCTTGTAGCTCACTATTTAGCTAATGAAACATATGTACATAAATATCTACTTTTGTTCGTAAACATTGATTTTGTGTCAACTCTTTAGTTTTGTAATTTCGTAATTGTTTGACATCGACATACTTCAATTGCCATTATTTTATCATTTCTTACATGTCTATGCACACATAAACACTACAAGTCGTACTAATTTCATCCAAACTATTTCACATTTCTTTTTCTTCAAATGGAACTTTCCTACAAATACTAATTTTTGTGTTTCAAAACGAAAAATCAAAAATGAAAATCGCAAAAAATCAAACGCTGCCGCTAGCAGGGTTCCGATTTGCCCATCTATATATGGTATGAAAGCTATCCGGAGCACATCGAAGAGGGCTACAAGGGCCGTGTGTCACGCGTCTCACAGGACTCACCGTTCGGTTCGGCCTCACTCAATTTGACCAACATCAAGGAGTCGGATCAAGGCTGGTATGAGTGTAAAGTGGTATTTTTAAATCGTGATCCCAAGCAGCATAAGAACGGTACATGGTTCCATTTAGACGTACATGCACCGCCACGTTTTAGTGTTACACCAGAGGATATTATATATGTTAATTTAGGTGAGTACGAAAACATATTCCAATAAGTATACAAAATTTACTAAATATTATTTACGAAACTCAAGAAAAAGTTAAATTTATTAAACGGTAAACAAACGCATTAAGAATAACTTCAAAAAGTGTTTTTTGGAATAAAAAGGAATGGATTATTCAGTATAAATCTGTATAGTATATATCTTATACAATAAAAAGAATCTACCAAAACTATCGTTATCTGTGAAAGCTTTTTAAAGGCTTTAGAAATGATAACTGCTGCAATGAACATAATGTAATAAATGTACTTTTCCGTGTGAATGTCGTAAAATTATGTATTAGTTGGAGTAGTCATCAGATATAAAGCAAAAAAGCTTGAAAAGGGTATTTGAAAATGTGAAAGCCCAAGAAAAGCTTTATTTAGCTAGAAAATACAATGAAGCAATGAAAATAATTTGCAAAAGTATTTCTTTGTATGAAAGCTTTTTAAAAGCCAACGTCGATAACTTTTCGCGTGAAAGCTCGCAAAAATCTTTAGTTGATTTTGAACTTCTGGTGCAACTAATATAACATATTCCATGTCAAACTCCTAATTCGATGTACTAAGTACGAAATATTATCAGATACAAGGAAAAGAACTTGAAAAGGATACTTTGCTATGTAAAAGCTCAAGAAAAGCTCTAATTAAATAGAAAATACAACGAAGTCATGAAAATAATTTGGCGGAAGTAATTGTTTACACGAAAGTTTTTTAAAAGCCAGAGTAGTTTACTTTTTGCGTGAAAACTCCCAAGAACTTTTAGTGATTAATGAACTCCTGATGCAACTGACATAACGGTTTCCATGTCAAAGTCCTAATGTGATGTCCTAAGTAGGAAATATTATCAGATATAAAGACAAAAACTTAAAAAAGGTATTTTAATATTTTAAAGCTTTTGAAAATCTCTATTTAAATTGAAAATATAACAAAGTAATGAACATAAGTTCACATAAGTACCTTTTATATAAAAGCTTTTTAAATCAGTTTTCGCGGGAAAGCTCGCATGAATCATAATTTTTTTGTTAACTTGATGAATCAACTAACACAACGTTTTCCTCGTCAATCTCCTAAACTGATATACTATGTTAACAATATCATCAGATAAAACTAATAAAACAAAAACTAATAAAACTAAAACTGAAAAGAAAACTTTAAAAAATGAAAGCTCATTATAAGCTCTATTTGATTCGAAAATACACCGAAAAAGAACTTTTATTTTATATTATCAGATACAAAGAAAAGACACTGAGAGGAGTATTATAAAGAATTAAAGCCTTTGAAATGTTAATATACATAATTTTTTGCGTGAAAGCTCACTAAAAGCTTATTTTTTTAACTTTCGGTTTTCTAGAGTAAAGAACATTATAGAAGACACTTATGTATGAAAGCTATTGAAAATGTTACGTTCCTGGACTTACATCGCTTGGCATCTGAGCGACCATACAAGCTTACAGGATAGAGTGAATGGCATTATATTGGTTACATGGAAGTCCCGCAAGAAACATAGGAAAATTATTTCTGATATATATATTTTTTTGATGTATTCTGCAGCCTTTATCGGTACCTGAATGATAACTCTCTTTGGCATATTGATACTACCGTTTAAAAGCATTCAACCCAACTTATTTTTCTCTCATCATAGAGCTGTATGAGCTCATTTTCAATTACTCTTAGGATCAAACTAAAATGCCTATTTAAAAAGTACCGATATTGCACCAAAAAAAGAAAAAAAGAAAACTAGAACAATCTCTTTGAGCGAACGCATGCCACGCAACGGTATTCGCAATAAATACGATTCTTCTAAATTCCTGTGCAAAGAAATGCTAGGGAGCTTTCTTGTTTGATTTATTTGCGGCGCAAAACAACTTGGCTTACCTGTTTGCCAGCAAATATTGCGCACAAAGTATAATCATAAATATTTTGCCAATGCAATTCTCCGAACGCAGTGATAGTTCCGACTACAGCAAATAAATTTCCAGCAAAAACCAACACACGCACAAAAGTACATAAAAATCAAAAAGGATAAAGAGTATAGCAAAGTAGTTGCGGCAGCTTCCGCAGAACCCGTTAGGATTTATACCTTTCGATTTGTCATTGTCAGCTGCGAGGCTGCTGGGACCACAAACACACTAAGAGCTAAGCCATAGCTATAGCCATGCACCGAATCAAAACAAAAATAATGCAAAAGGAAAACATGATGTGAAAGCACCTTCCAAGCGAAAGAATAGAAACGCAAACAAATTGCGGCTATAATCTTCACATGTGTACCCAAGAGCTTATAATGGTGTCACGTTTGTGTGGGTGTGTGCGGTGTGTGCGTAGGTGTGCGGAATTTGCATACATCAACTTCATATGCAGTGAGCTGCTGTTCGGCGCCCATAAATATACTTCAAAACTACAAAATCACAATCTACTACTTGTGCGTGTATGTGACTCCATCTTTCGCCTGCAGAAACGTTACTTTCTAGTTTTTTTATGCTTGCAAAAAAGTTCCAGACATTTGCCACTTTGACATCACACAATTTACTTAAAAGCAGCGTATATTCGGGCGCGCCCATATCTGCCACTCACCTTCGATAGCATCTGAGCACCCGAATTCATCACGCTGACAGCTTTTCGATTCGCACTCGCCCGCACCGCGTCTCTAACCGGTGCAGGTATTGAGATTTTTTCGACAAATTTGCCCATTCGCCGTACCCACGCGCGCATTAACCCGACTTTCAAGCCACTGCAGCTGCCGGTGGCGGTGTGTGCGCCGAAATGTATGCTGTCATAAATGGCAAATTGCATGCCGGTCTGTTTGCGAAACCCACAAATTTGTCACTTTCAGTGAGTTTATCCTTCTTGTTGATGTGCTCAACACTCACACACGGCTAAGTATGCCAAAGTATTTGAGTAGCTAACCCAACTTTTTCTTTTGCTGGAGGTAGACAGGTAAAAAATAGAGGATTTTGTGTAGCTGGTAGTTATTTAAAGCTTTAGTATTTAGATCAGACAGTATCAGTATGCATTTAGAAAAACGCAGAAGTAATGGAGTGTAAGTGAAGTCCTTGAAAATAATCTATGAGTATCCTTGGCAGAAAGATAAAATGGTCAAGATAACAGAGCAACTAATTAATCAATTACTTAATCACTTTGTAATACGTTTTTACACTCGGCCTTTTAAAGTTTAGTGTGCCGCACTCTCATCAATGTTAAAAAGACTTATTTTTTTTCAAAAGCGTACCTTTAGGCGCTCACTCAAATTATAAAATTAAAATGTGAAAACTTAGAAATTTTCAGTAAATTTAATTTTTTTGGTCTTAAACACTTTTTCCTCTAACTCTCTTTTCTACTCTCCGTGGTATTCTTCCCATATCCAGCACCCCAACTACAGCAGCCATGCTTAGTACCTTCCACCGGCGCTATGAATAATTGCCAGCATTTGTCTCTGTAGCGCCGCAATTGCAAAAAACACTCAGAGAGCTAGTGTACCGTTAGCATCGATTTGAATTTTGTTCCCGATTCCATTACTTACGCTTTTGCCATAAACCCTATCCATGCTCTGTTTGAATTCGATTAATTTATGTTGACTGTAATCCTCATGCTTTGTCAGCTCTCCGACCGCCTTTTTGTGATCAAAAGCACGACACTCCATCTGCTTGTGTAGAGAACTCTGCTCTTCATGATTTAGCGTGCAATTTGTCACCTTTGAAGTTTGACTGAGCGCTGCGTGGAGGGTATATTTGGAGTCCAACAGCATCTCCCAGCCATTATTTGTAAACCTTGACTAAAAATTCACATACACATATTATATATGACAGCTCACACATCCCCTCGCTCTCAGCACTTGCTTTGACATGAAATATTTCCCGACAAATAGCTGAAAACGAAATAGTTGCTTTTCCACTTTAATGTTGTCTAATTAAACTTGAAAAGGAGCCAAGTTAGCCAAAGTTAATATGCGGTTGACTTGTGACTGAGTTGCCATCTGTTTCGCCGTCAACTGTTGCTGCGGCGCTGCTGTCTTAATAGACAGCTATGAAGACGTGTTTAATTTGTGCCCGCGTAGTCAGCTGGACAGACGAAATGCAGTGCTCAGGCAAGTCTGCAGCCGGTAAATGGCAATTAGTAGTGGCAAAATAGTTGCTGTCAGCTTCGCAAATGTTTATATACTGCTACTTTTGGCATGGCGAGCAGGGCGGAAGCGAAAGTTGAAAGAATCGCAAATATTATATACATATATGAGTATATGTGTATGAACATATTTCATTTTGAGTTTCAACAACTTGTTTCAAAAACGAAAAGTGAGTCTATCTCCAACTGAGTTTTAGCAAACCATCGTATGTGTAATCTATATGACCAAGTATGGAGAAGGGAGTCACTTTCATTCTCTTTACTTAAGTGGTACAAAAGCTTAAAGCTCAAGTAAAATGTTGAAGCGGAAGTCTGCTGTCTGGAGCTCTTTTTCTCTCCACTTTGTGTGTCTTTCAAACAACAGTGGCAGCCATCKAGGTAGCAGCAGATGTACTCTGCGAAGTGCGGCTTCTTTTAGAGATATATGTATGCATTGACTCGGATAGCATTGCTGCCAAACAGGACGTGAACTCGCTGACAGTGAGCTCGAAGCTAGTCACGGATGTTATGACCTCACTATCATATTTAATTTGTCAGAGTTCCTGGCCACAATGTATTCATAGGAAAATTGTAAAGCTGATGAGCTTGCTAGTAATATCACCTTTACCGATATCCCTTTGGGATGGTACAATGATCGCCTTTTTTTTGGTGGACTTGGGCGTTGGATCTATGGGACTCGCCAGAGCTCATTAAGTGTTGACCCGCGCAGGGCCTTCTGGCTTTCTAGCYCAGAGGAGAACATGAAAGGTCTATCGAACTGGTATCACAAGGTTCACATTCTCGAAATTGGTAGACGTCCTAAGTTGGTACTGTTGGCACCCATGCGGTGACCCAACCTAACCTAAGGCCTCATCTAAACAATCTTCGAGTAGAAAGTATGAATTTTATCGAAGCAGCAGTTATATTGCTAATTTCTTGTGATTTGAAGAAAAAAATGAAAACTCCGCATATCTTTGGACTTAATACCGAGATGCCTTTCAGAAAAATGTAAATAATTTTCTATTTAAAACCATCTTCCACATTTAGCTTAAAGTTACCGTTATGGCCGCAAATACAGAGGGAACTTTGTTAATTAAAAAGTAATTAAAATGCGTTGGTTAGACAAACAAAAGCCATGTGGCGGTGAAGARAAGCCAATTGAAGTTTGCTGGCTACAACAAAAACCAACTTAGAGCTTAGACAAATAAAAGCTGCAAAAACCACCACAATAACCATGCAACTGCGGCAGGACKCATGCGAACAATGGCAAGAAACAAAGGACAACAACTGAAGGCAATTAAAACCAATTGTAGCCATTTGTGTTAATTGCGGCTGCCGTAGTAAGCATAAACAACAATAACGACAAAAACAAAAATAATAATRATAATAAGACGGTRTATGTTYATGGTGAATAAAGGAGTTAGAAAAGGGATGAATGGGTGAATGGTCGAATGTGTGGGAGAGGAAATGAATGCCGTAACGCAAGAGCGCACACTGAAGACGCGCTTTCAAGAGCACACATTCATTACGCGGTGCTCACGAAATTTAGAAAGGTGGGCAGTAGTCGAAAGAAGAAATTATAAAAAWTATGCGAGAAAAAAGTGTGGACGGAAGCCAGCAATGTAGATGAACATGCAGCCGTTGAAAAATATATAGAAAACACTTGTGTTTAAAGAAAGACGAGCAACAAATCAGCAGGAACTTGCGCTGCAAACAAAGGCGCTGCCWGCAGCTCACGTTGCGCCGCCGTACCGCTCCCTGCGTGCCACAAACACACTGCGATTGCAACGACGAACAAAGCAAGCGGCTCACTTACAGCAGCCAACAACAGTGCGCTGTTCCACCACCTGGCAGTTCCACTTCTAGACAATAGCGCAATATCGTTGGCATGCGCCGGCGGACTTGTTCTAATATATGTTGTTATTATATTGTTTTATTCCGCCATTTTTAACTGTTGATCCTATTTGAGCGCGCATTTTACTTTGCCAACTCCTCCAGGATGAAGTGGATAAAGATAAAAATAAAAAAATAACGCTTAACATAAAAGACAAGCCAACCGGCAGTTTTCATGGCAAATTATCTACACAGCACAGAGCGCGGCACGAGCGCCTGCTAGGGAGTAACTCAGAGGYGATTTGAAAGTGGAGTAAAACGCGGCTTGAAGGGTGAGGACGGGCGAGCGCCAATGATAAGCCGGAAGGAAAGTTTGCTGCTGTGCGCGCACAACAAATCAAACAAGCGACAAAGGCACGCACACACACACACACACAAATCTCCCTGAACGTTCCCGCATACCGGCGCACAATGACAGTTAGACAYGCTGCACGTACATGCCGAAGACAATGAGCAGAGCGAGCTCAAAGCAAAAAAATAAAAAAAAATAAAAATTAAATGAAAATGATAGAAAATGAAAACTAAAAGTAGCTGCTKCTATCTAGTGCCAGAATCAGCCAGCGCTGTCCGCATTGTGACAGCTTATCGCTAACTTGACTGGCAAGCTACGCCTGCCTGCGCCACAAGCTTTCGTGCAGTTTTGACAGGCCAATGCGTGTGCGCGTGTGTGTGTGTCATGCYACGCATTGTTTCGCGTATTCTTTAAGTATTTTTACTGCTTACTTCTCAGAGGTGTTCACTTTATTATGTTATATAAATTACGGTACTTTTCAATTGCATCAAATTTGAATGTTAATCTACTTTTTCTCTTTCTTTCTTTCTTTGTTTCTTCCACGCAAAAAACAGGCGACTCAATTATTCTAAATTGTCAAGCGGATGGCACCCCAACACCAGAGATCTTATGGTACAAAGATGCTAATCCCGTTGATCCCTCGTCTACTGTTGGCATCTTTAATGATGGCACCGAGTTACGGATCTCCACCATCCGACACGAGGACATCGGAGAGTACACTTGCATTGCACGCAATGGTGAGGGACAAGTCTCCCATACGGCCCGTGTTATAATAGCGGGCGGCGCTGTAATCATGGTAAAACATAAATTATTTTCGAACCACCAAAACCCCTCTCAGAAATATCAAATCCTCCACAAAATGTAAAAATCGATGCCCACTTTGGATTGTAAACTAACGAAGAAGAAAAGTTTGTAAAATGAAAACAAACAACATAATTGATTTGGTGAAGTGAAATTGTAGTAAAATTAAATTTTTAGACGCGACTCCTCTAGCTGATTTGCAGTTTTACCTAAAGTGATGTTTTTTTTTTCTTCTTTTGAAGTAGATAAGTATGAGTATATTTAGGTAACAGACAGTTTGTGTTGCTTTTGGGGTTTTACTAATATATTAACGGTAATAAGTGCATTCGGTAACACCTGAGTTTGACTTTAAGAATTTAAAAGTTCTGGCAAGCTTCAGCAATACCTGCATTTAAGTAAAGAGCTAWAATCGCAACACTAAATTTTGAAAGCTCACTAAAAGCTCAAAGCTCACTCAGATTAACTGCCAAAYAATATTTAAAAGTTTATATCTTACATGATTCGARAGTCTAAAATTACAACACCAAGTTTTGAAAGCTCACTGAAAGCTCAAAGCTCTCTTCAAAGCTCACTCGCTTTAAGTGCCGAATAATACTTGAAAATTTATATCTTACATGATTCGAAAGTCTAAAATTACAGCACCAAGTTTTGAAAGCTCACTAAATGCTCAAAGTGACAAATAACACTTGAAAGTTTATGTCTTCCATGATTCAAAAGTCTAAAATTACAACTCTAAACTTTGAAAGCTAGCTAAAAGCCCAAAGCGTTCTTCAAAGCTCACTCGCTTTAAGTGCCAAATACTGCTTGAAAGTTCATATCTTACATGATTCGATAGCGATTTCAGTTGATCATATTTTGCTTGCTTCACTTTGGCTTAACAGCAATTACTCCAAACAAAATTATTCACCAGGGACGCAATACGCTACAAATGTAAATACAAAGGTTGCCGAAAGATGTCGCTGAAGAAAATTTACGTCATGAATGAATAAGTTATTTATTTTGATCTTTTCTGTGAACTAATTTGTAATCTTATTACTGATGAGCTCATAAAGTGAGTAAAGTAAAATTASAYTACTTAACAAATCTGAAAGAAAAATTTCTGACTGATGTGCTAAGAGGTCTGTGGGGTATTTGAAGGGTATTGATTACAAGTTTGGGTTCAAAAGTGTTTGCATACAGGACAAAAAATCCTYCGTGTTAGAAAACTTAGATGTTTTTAATGTCATTTTCGCATTAAGCAACCCAAAATTAGCCAGAACAGCCTCTAACTACACTGTTGCAAAATGATTGTAAAATTGCACTAACTTTGAGAATAATGTAAACTTGTTTATGAGACATAAAACTGATTCTAAAGTTTTCACTTACCGGGAAAATTGTCAATCAGCTAGCAATTTTTTTAAGTTTTCGCCAACTAATTGGAGTGTTCAAAATAATGAAATTTCTTTGCGAATGACTTCAGTTCCAATAGCGTTCCATATCCATATGTTTAAGTGTTGTCGCCCCCTATTTATAAACAAACAGAAAGAATTATTMAAAAAAATATGAAAATTTCAAACAYTTATATAACGATTTATCATAATCATCATTATTAAACTCATATTTATATTAAGCTTATATGCATGAAAAATCATAAAAATAGCTAGATTTACCGTCGCTCGACTTAAAAATATATACTTATAAAGTTTTAGGCGTTCTCATTGGCTTAAAGCCAGCATTAAATGCTATTTGATTGTTTTTAACGAGTAAAATGGAATTTTAAAATGATTCAAGCGCCYATGCTGCATACTTTTAAGCGCGTAGTTGATTAATCTAAACTTGAAAGCCAAAACTAAGTGTGCTTAGCAAATAATTTTCAACACTTCTACTAATGTTTTTTTATTTTGTTGAACTTTATTAAATTTATGTRACGGTATACCGCACTTCTTGTAGTTATTAAACAAAACTGAATCRCTTTGATGACGAAACCGAGCGAAATGCTTAAAATCTCATGCCGAAATTAATTGCAGCCAAATTAATTATTTTGCTTGAGGTAAACTGCCTACAAATATTTTAACTAGCATCGGGTGCAGAAGATTGTAAACAGCTGCAGAACTATGTATATTGACATGACATGTGTAGCCAAAAGCAACCCTGGCCTGATTGAAGCCCATTTAAATGAGTTACAGTGCAATTAACTTAAATTACGCTATAAATTATAGCTATTTGCTCGAAATTAAGATGCAGCAATTTGCTTTCCAGAAAGTTTTAATTGGATTATTTTAAAAATGCCGAGGTGGTTGGCAGCGTTGCCGTATAAGAAAAATATTTTTATGGAAAATTATTATATTAAAAAATTAAAGTAAACAAATTTTAACGGAAAATGCAAAGTTTGAATATTTTTAGTAACACTATACAAATTTCAGCATTCAAAAGTCAAAAGAAAAATTTAAGAGAAATTTTTCAGTAGCTTATTTTTAATTGTACTTATCATTGCGCAGATCGTCACCTAACATGCAAAATAACGTAACCTCACTTTCCTAAGGTTTACAAGAGCATGGCAAACGTTATAATAGAAAGCAGTCATATTGAAACAAAATTTTAGTTTTGGTTATRAAATGGTTATAAATTCGTTATATGTTGGTTACATGTTGGTTATATATTGGTTATATATAGGTTATTTATTGGTTATAAATGACAACTGCTACTGAAAATTCAATGCTATTTATATGTAATATGTTATAACGAGTCGTAAGCAATAAGAACTCAATTTTGGTTTTATGATGATACGTTGTTTTGCATTTTAGGTGACGATTATAATATATCTTATTTTGTATAAATTCAAACCTAACTCGCCGAACAATTTTCTTTTTTAATTTCAAACTCAGCTTTAGTAAATATTGCCTTAAGAAAAACTTCCATAATTTCTTTAACGAAATCCTTCAGGCAAGTTATCTTCGAGCAATTTATGTAGTAAGCGCCAGTCAATTGATCATACTCGACAAAAGTAGGCCAACTGCTGCAGCATTCCCGCAAGTGTACATACACTCTAAGACACAAAATAACAGTTACAAAATGCTAGCATATCACTTTAATCGCACACCCGCATTTATCTACGTAAGGCGAGCTTATGCTGAGCTCAAACTTAATGCCAGCAACATGAAAAGTTCCATTGAAAGTAAGGCACAAGCAACACAAGACATCACGATGCCATGAAATTATTTATAAACAAAGCCAACAATAAAGACTACACGCTCTGCAGATACAACAACAGTTATTATTTATAAACTAAATACAGCCATTATGCAGCATGCATAAGTGTAACATGTGTGTGGTCGTAGAACTTTGGCAGCGCCTGAAACTGTGCTAAACTGCACATCATTACACAGCAACACACACACGAACACGCATATGTGCAGCTGTKTGTGTGCTTGTATGTTGCAAACGATATTATAAAACACAATTATATTACGAAAACCGCTCAATAACTGTCAGCCTGAGACACATGCGCACACACACAAACATATACTGGCAGTTGTGGGAGTTTATGTGACAGCTTGAATAGCTAAGGGAATGTTCTTGGAAGAAGAAAATCTTAATTCAACATGACAACACTAATGCGCTACTACAATTTAATAGTTAAAAGACGCCGCACACACACACATGCAAGCAAACTGTACTCTGTCTGGGTTGATTGGTGCGCCATGGCGTATGAGTAACAACAATGTACTGACAGCACACTGCTTACTTATACGGACTTGTACGCGCTTTGCTGATCCCACACAGATGTTGTCATTAGACTCCGTTATGCGCTTTTGTCTTCATTTGTTTTCGCTTGCCACTAAACTACTGTATTCAGCATTCATGTCAGCTGAAATTGATGGGCGTTTGTGCGTATGTGTCTTCGCCTGCAACAGCAGTCACTAAGTGCCGCACTTTAATAGTGCTGCCTTAAACCTTATTTATGGCGCACTCACTTAAATGCCTTTCATGCTTTTCAAWGTGAAAATTAAGCAGTCTATGCTGCTTTTACTCACTAACACTAGTTTGACGCTTGTAGTCTCATTATAGTGTTTTTAAACCTTAAGCCTGCAGTTGTACGGTTGCAGGGGCTGTAGATAATTAAAGGGAAATGTGATGAGTAATCGGAGAACTTTTTTGCTTCGAAAAATTTAGAATATATATAACGTTGATATTCAAAGGGTCTCCGTGGTAGCCGATATCAARCCTTCACGTGTGTTTCTTTCAGTTAGAAAACGGTTATTAAAACTCTCAGCAAATTTGAGAGCAGTTGCAAAGACTTACAAAACTATATGTTGTTTTTTACACAGTTAAAGCTTTCTTAGCTGACTTTTGAACGATTTCAGTGGTTCATTTCTTGTAAAARTCTATCTAAATCGATTCAAGCAAACGCAAAAAAAAATGTATAAAGTTGAATTGACTACGAKTTTCTTGGCTGTTTGACAAAAGTTTTTGGCAAAAAGCATATGAAGTATGTCATACTAATACAATTTCGCGATAATGCCAAAATCTTCAAAATAAATGTATTACTCATTCAAAATATTGAAAGACATTTTTTACAATGATTTTCAACAATATATGCAGTTCCTATAAGTTAAATGGCTGCTGCCTAAGGCATGAAATTGAGTTYTCAATATATTAATCGATTAAAAAATATTTCAAAAATATTWAAAAATCATTCGTTTARTTTCAAAACGGAATCGTAGAGAGCAGCACAGGTCATAGGTCGAATACAAATATTCACATATTTTAATAAATATGTAATATGTGGTCTAGCGCTGTCCTGATGGAAGACGAAGCCCYCTTTTCTAAATTAATTCTGGCCGTTTTTCTCGATTGCTTGCTTCACTCTCATCAGTTGYTGACAGYAAAATTTAGAAGTAATCRCTCCAAAAGGCTGGAGCAGCTCATACTGAATGATTCCTATCCAATCCCACCAAGCACTCCACAAACAGTTTCGAGGCGTCAGTCTTGGCTTTGCGACCATTTGTTGAGYTT